TCTCTCTCTCTCTCCTCCTCCTCCTCCTAGCCCCACATATTTTTATCAAATCTAACTAACGTAAAAAGAATAACAGACTGGGAGGAATTCCGTAACGAGCGACCACTATACAGAGCAGAATAGAGGGTTGGGGTAAGGGTCAGGGTTAGGGTAAGGGGTAAGGTTAGGGGTACGGATAGGGTAGGGGTTGGGTAAGGATAGGGGTAGGGGTTGGGTCAAGGTTTAGGGTTAGGGTTAGGTTTGTTAGATCTAGGACTCTTCTTTCTTGTGTTTGCTGGGATGGTCTCTCATTACGGAAGTCTTTCTAACAGACGTGAGTATAATGTACTCACTTTTGGGCGGCTCCTCGTCGTAGCACTTCATCCAGAAGCCAAAGTGGTAGTTGCTGGCCCTCCTCACCTCCTCGCTGGTGATGTCACGTGACTCCACCACGTACCAGTAGTTGGTGATGGCGGCCACGATGGTGAGTGCTAGAGCAGCGAACAGGATGAGCATGGAGACAACCAGCGTGCCGAACCCACACGCCATCTTGGGGAGCTAGATCTGTGACGTCTGTGAGCAGGGTGCTATGTCCTCACGGGGATTTAGAACTTATCACACTCACAAATACACACAAAGTAACACACACAGGTGGTTTACACAAACACCGTTAATGTAGAACACACACTAGTAACACACACAAACACAGTTGGTGTTGAACACAAACTTCTGAAACACACAGACAGGATGTATGTAGACAATAAACTTCTGACACACACACACACACACAAACACAGTTGGTATTGAAAACTTAACTTCTGACACACACAAACACTACGCTGTATGAAGAAAACACACACAATCCACGAGCTCTATCCAACTCCAAAGAAAACAATCCTGTCAGATGAACAAAGACGCTGAAACTGGTAGCTTTGTAGGCGGTCAAAGAAAGATTTGTTGTAACTGTGTCTGGTTCTTCTCACGAGCTTCAGATTCTCCCAAAAGGTTTTAGAACTCTGCGCTTAATCGTACTCCAATGTGAACGTTTCCAGTCAGAGGAAAGATTGTAACAGAATGTTCCGACTCGACACACCTCGATAGTTTCCACACAGAACGTAAAGACAAAGTGTTGTTACAGTTCTTACAATACTGCTATATCCTGCACGCAGCGAGAGTTTCCACTTTGAATGTTGATCTGCAGACAAAAAGTGTTGTAACAGCTTTTACAATACCACTACAGTCCTGCACTCAACGAAAATTTCCTCACAGAATGCTGAGACAAGGCGTTGTGACAGTTATTACAATAC